CTTCATATGGCTGAGGAGAACAGCACTCCTACATAAGGCAGTGGGACATAACTTAATAAAATATCTGAATATAAGTCAAGATGAAAGCAGCTGGTGTAAACCAAACACACCCTTTGCATCTCCCTCTGCACTGAAATCTGTAACCAGTGTGACTTCAAACCAGCACTGAATAACAGGAGTACAGAGCAAGTAAATAATAATCCTTCTGCCCTTCCACCAGGAGTCAAAGCGCAGGATGGCAAAGGCACTTGCTAGGCACTTCTGGTGACAGAGTTTTCAGTGCCAGAAAAAAAGAAGGCAGTTTGGGGGCACGGTGGGGAGGGAGGGGGCGGTTATTCCCTGCTCCCTGTGTCCTCCTCCGTTCTGGGAGCTTCATATACTGATGACTGAGACTTTCCCCTTCCATCGGCCAGCCCGCTGTTGTGTGCGGCGCTCGGGCAGCACAGCGCACACTGCAGCGTATTGGCTGTAAAGCTGACTGACTTGTTCAAACAAAAATGGGTTTTATGAGTTTCCTCAGAAACTCGACGCAACCTTGTGGGGCTCACAGAAGCTGCTCAGCCGCATCCCGGCTCAGCAGCCGCTGGGACCTGGGAAGAGCTGCCACAGCTGGGAGACAAAGGTGTGTTGTGAGGGAAGGTGGCGCTGGACGCTTGGCCAGGGCGCGCGCCATGTCCTGTGCGCTTGGCCCTGTGCAATCCCTCCGCGGCCACACTGTGGTCCCACAGAGCTCTCTGTGGGATGGTGCAGTGGAATTACTGGTGTTCCCGGCAGCCGCGTGGGAACGGGGCCTGCCCAGGATCCTGACCCTATGCCCACGGTTCAGTGGTGATCGGAGCAAAGCGTTATCCCTCCGGAAGGACACCTTTCCCTCATGGATGTGAGCGGGAGGCCCTGTGGACCGACTGCTTCAGCCCCCAGCCTACCTTTGTGATGGGGGCAGCTGTCGTTAACAACTTGAGCTGAAGGCTCCTGGGTTGATTGACTAATTGTTCTGGAATTGTTCTAATGGATGCCTGCACCTTCCTCTGAAGGGAAGAGAAATGGCAGTGAACACTTCCAAGCCACCTTTCCACAGTCTCGTTGGCCCTTGGAGAGGAGCGAGGCAGTGGTGGGTGCCCGAGCGAGGTGCTGCGGCCAGGGAAGGGCCGAGGGCTCAGAGCGGCGTCCTCTAGGCCGCTGCATAGGGTGAGCCCTTCTCAAGTGTCGCCAGGCAGGACGCAGCAGGAGCTCCCACGCGGAAAGCTGGCGTCTCCATTACGTGCTTTGTAGAGCCCTGTGAGAGGGCGAAGGGCGGCTCTGAGCAAGCCCTGCGTGGGCACCGCTGCGGCATCCCCTCGAGCCGTGGCACCACACGCGGTCGGTACGGTGACCCACAAGGAGACGGCTTAGGTGGGAAACCCCTGGGGCAGGGATGTTGAAATAGCTTTTTCATATTCTCTTCCAGATCCTTTCTAAGATGACAATCCCATAATTCCCAGTGGATTTACTCTGTACCCTCTCTCTTATTCCTTGGTGTTCATTTTTTTTTCCTGGTTGATCGCACCAAATACGTTAACTCCTTCATCCTGGCCGCGTGTTGTGTTTCCTCCCAGCTGCCAGGGTGTAGGCGGAAAAGCATTGACACTCGGGTCATTACATGGGAGAAGGGAGGTCTTGCTCAGAGCCAGGTGGTCACATAGCAATCCAGGTCTTCATGTTGTTGGACAAAAATAATGTATCTCCATGGCTATGAGTATTGCTATCTCTATTTAATATGAAGAAAATGAGACTTGGAGGCAGTTGCCCTGATTATGAAACAGTCTGATCCTCTTTCCATTAATGTCAATGGAAGTAAGAGCTGACCTTGAATTGGCCACAAAGTGGAAGTTTCTTCCCCTTCTGTCATCATCTTTCAGAGAATGCCAAGCCAAACCTCCAGATATGCTGTGAAAACCCTGTGTCTGTTTTCATGCTTATTAAGTGTTCCTTTGCTGAACCCAACAGCCTTCTCCTGACAAGGTGTCCAGGCACACAGCAGGGATCTCCTAACCTTTCACATTGAGCTTATCAGTGGTGGTAAGGCAAAAAAATCAGAATTTGGCTCTGTTTGAAGTATACCACAAGAGTCATAATTAAAAAATTGTGGAAAAAAAAAGACACATGCATGATTGAAGCTGCTTATTTGAATAAAGCCCCGAATGTTTACTTTTAAAATCTGTTCTTCAATATTTTGTAGTGATATATTTAGTCGATGTAACATAAGCAGTTTTCTCTAGAAAAAAACATCTGCTCAAACAGACCACGTAGTTACTGTACTCGGGATTGGGAAGTGCAGGAAGTTTGCTACAGTGTGTTTTTCTTACATTACATGTGCCTCTCTTTTTTTCTTTCTCTCTTTCAGACTTAACCAACATAATGACTGCTGACTATTAAGGGAAAACGCAAGAAGGTTACATGTTTGGTTGTCTAATATTCTTGGATTTGATATGAGTCACCACATCTGTTCATTAGTATCATCAGCAGCATCCCAGTTTGTATGCACATTATTCACATTCCTATCTGTTGTGTTTGCAGAAATGACATTTTGCCCTTTTTTCTAAGGGTTATTTTTGATTTTCATATTACTTGGTTGCATGAAGTTGCCCTTTACCAGTGGCTGAGGTTTATGAAGATATTGCATACTTGAACATGTTTTAGATTCCTTTTCTAAACAGAAAAGGTATAACTCCAAATTAAATCATTCTAAGTCAGCATTTTTTAAAAGACAGGTAAATCATAGAAGCAAGTCCCCTACATGCAATGCTACAAGAATATTTTCCACCTACAAACATAACTTTAAATTGCCCTATATCATTCTTTCTTATTTTTTAATCAGTTTACGACATGAAAGAAAAAAAACCTCTTCAGTTGAGATCATTGCAAAGTTCAATAATGTAATAAAATACCTTTCCTTATTAGAAGTACCTAGCTAGTTATACTCTTAATACTTCTCAAAATCATGATGTAATGTACACTATCTGACTTAGTTCCTATATGTGGAGTTAGTGAAAGTCTTTTTGTGTTTCTTTAGATTAATACAAGGATTTTTTCCAATGCCAACACAATTTGAGATCATTCATTTGGATGCTTTCCATTTTTAAGCTTACTGTGATATAGAACCCTATGGGAAACCAAAAGAAAACATCAATTCTAAACAATGAAAGGCTTAAAAAAAGGATGCTGTCATTCTGGCGTTTTTTTTTCCTTTTGGAAATAGAACTAGACTAGTAAGTAAGCATTCCAAATCCATTATTCTGTGTACATTATTGTTGCTATTGTGATAATAGAGATTTTTATTTATTTTTATGCCAGCTTTTATTGTGAAAACATATTTAGTCTGGTTTTATCAATCCTTGTTATGCTTGTCCTTGGAACATCTTTTGCGTATTCAAGGTTTGTAGTTGACGAGTTTACTGTAAAAAACTTTAAAAAACGCAACAAAAAAACAAAAAAGAAAACAAAAAGAAAACAAAAAAATGTATTGTTTTTACAGAATAAATTTATTGGAATGTGTATTGGGAGTAAGGTTTGAGGTTGTAAGCAACTAAGTTAGCGTCATATTTGGCTTCATACGTGTAATAATGTGAGGTATTAATGTAAGTCAAGTATTAAAGCAAAACATTCTGTTAACATGAGTTGACCATAATAGATACAAGTGCAGGTGAGATCTTTATTTTTTTCTGTACTTTGCCTTTTCTGGATAACAGGAGGTTATTAAATTCACCTTGAATGTATTCAAAGTTTCTTTAAAAACATTAGAAGTACCATCAGAGGCTCAAATATCTTTGTGAGACAGCATGCCAAGCAGCTCCGCGTTTGCTTTCTGGGGAGACACTTGGGGATGGAGCTGTCCCGCGTCCCTGCGTGTACGGAGGGCATCCACCCCAGGGAGGTTGGGTGCCGGGGGGCGCGTTGGCATCGGCTCCATTCTGCCAAGAAACGTGCCCCGACAGAGCCTGTGGTGCTGGGGAGCCCAGGGGTGAGAGCGAGGCTGCACTTGTGAGCACGATGGGAACTGCAGCTCAGCGTGCAGCGGGAGAGGGGTGCAGCACGGCCCTGGCGCAGGCTGCAACGCGCATCTGCATGAGCTGCTGCTTCCTTGCTGCTGATTAGGTTTAAAAAGAAAATGTAAATGCTGTAAATCAAAGCATCCAAAACTAAACACCCCAAAAGAAAGTGCTTCCGGCTAAGTGGTATCAGCTAATTTCATCTGTGAGAAAGCCACTAAAGGTACTGCTTTTAGTATAAACACACACACAAAAGGCATAGAAATAGTTCTAATTGCAAACAGAAACACAAACCACATGAAACCAAGGTCCCTCTGTGCGCTGCTACTTGCCTACAACCTAAGGTCCCAGCACAAATAGCTCCTTAGAGAAACACAGTAAAAATTGCTCCCCACTGAAGCTGGTGCCGTTGTGTCCGGCCTCGTGTGCAAGGTGCTGAGCACAAGCCCAGTGCAGAACTGCTCAGAAGCACATGCTTAACTTCAAGCAGACGATAGTCCTTGCAGAACTGAATCTTTAAAAATAGTAACAAAACTATATGATTCAGTTATCATATAGGGAATCTTACCATCAGAGTTGATTGCATCTTAAAATTTCTTGGGATTTTTAACAAGGCTGACCCACAAGACGTTCTTTTTGACAAATAAAACATGTGCATGTGACAGTTATGGATGTTAATTTTTGACACTTCAAAAACATTGATCTTAAAAATTATACAGTACTTTTATACATGAATTGCTAACACTGATATATGTAAGTGTATGGAAGCAAAATACTGACATCATTATTTAACTCCATGCAATATTTCTAAAAATGTCAGCACACCTCAATAGCTGTATGAACTATTATGTACTGCAGTGTAAAATCAAACTGTGCAGAACTGATACTGAAGGCAGTTGTCTTTATTTTCTCTTTTTTTTGAGTAGGATAAACAAAGCAGACTGTGCAATTTTACACATCTTACACACTTCTTTTGGGTTCCGTTTGAGCAGTTCGGTTACATCCGAAGCCAATTATTTACATAGCCAAAAAGAGGAACTCAAAGCAGTGGCACTATTCCGTTTTTTCTTCTTCTTTCATTTTCATAAAAAACTCTGGCTTGTTTACACACCTGTAAGCCAACAGCTGGGGAAGAATCCCATACATTATGTTCAATATCAGAAAAAACTGTTTTGCCTCTTCAGGGACTCTGTAGATGTAAGGAGTTCGAGCATGAAGAGAAGCACCAATATGGGAAAACTGAGCCTGTGGTGTGTATATAACGTATATATTAAAAGAGGATAAAATTGATGTATATTTTGGAAAGACAGCATAATCTGCATGCAAGTATGCATTCCCGGTGACATTTTCCAAGCTAACCCTCTTATTTCTCCATTATCTATCATACTTTTGCACAGCAGTATAAAAATACAGTCTGAACTACAGTCATTCGCAGCTTGATGTAACGCCACGAGCAGGATTTAATCCGTGGCTACCGAGTGATAATTCACGTGCCCGGGTGCCCCCAGGGAGGTGCAGGGAGCCGCTCGCCCGTCCCCAGCATTGTGCCGGGCACCGGCGGGAAGCGACGGGCACTCGCTCCAAATAAAGTTAGAAAATAAAAGCTTCAAAGCTACAGTTAAAGAAAACAAAATTTGAGCTCAGTCTTGCAGATACTAATCCCAGAACTCCTCATGGTTTCGGAAAACGTCTGAAAAATGCAGCCTTTGGGCTGGAAGCAGGCAGCTCGGGAGTTTACATTGAAGGTTATCGGCAAAGAGAAGCTTGCTGAGCTGGAGCATAGTTTTAGCATAAACAAACATTTAAAGATAGAAGCATCAGAATAGTTGCTGTCTTTTGTTTCCATCTGTTACCTGCTATTTCAAGCAACAGCTTGTTCACATTAACTATCATGCATCCAATTTTAGTTAGTTAGTTTGCAGTGAATGGGGGACTCTGAGAAGATAAACATGAATTTGACCTGAAGCAGAGCAGGAGAAAGGGACACCAGGATTTTAGCAACGCAGTGGAGTTCACTATGGCCAACTCCTGTTTGTTCTGGCTGAAGCAGGAGTTATTTAGGACTCACAAAGAACACAATTCAGTTTGTAGTTAGTAAAGCAGTAAATACAGTGCAGGTGTCTCGAGCAAGCGGTTGGGCTGACACCATACACTGGAACAGAAAAGGGAGATCTCCTCTTAAAAGGGAGATCTGATCTAGCAAACCTGAGTTACAAAACAAAGTAATCAAAGAAATCAAATACAAACACACTTCAGCAGAGTGCCACTTAGCATGTCTCTGTAAATAGCCATTACTCTGCAAACAGCTGCTCAGGGACACCTTATCAGCAGTGTTTTTATATCAGCCTGTTTGCCCTCACCTGGGTCAGGGTTCCAGGTTCCTGTGTGGTTTGCTCAGGTGCCTGCTCCCTTCCCTCAGCCTGGGAGCTCCCTTGGAGCGGGTGGCCCACAGGATGGGAGGTAATGCTTTCCCAAGGTGGCTTTCCCACAGCCACCAGCTGCCTTAGGAGACCTGGAGCTACCGTTTATGTGGGTTCTCACAGTCCCTCTGTGATACCTTAGGGTTCTTCTGAGGTGAGCAAAGTACCTTATAAAGAGGGAAATGTGGGGCTGGGTTCCAGGGCCCTGGTGGCTCTGAGCACAGTCCCCAGCCCTGTGTGTAAGTGCTGTGGGTGCCTGCGCTTCTGGGAGAAGCGTTGTTGTCTCAGATCCAGAGCTCCCCAGGCCTCCTCGGTGGCTTTACTCTCTGGGCTGCTTTGTCTGGTTTCTTTCTTAGAGCAAGACCATGGGGCGTTAGTGAGTTTCTAGCTCTATAAAAGCCAGAAACATTTGACTGTTCTTTCTAGTCCAAAGCGTTTTACTGGCTAATGCACTCTGTGGAGATGTTACTGTTTATTAGACTTGTTTGTCAGTATAGCACCTTGGTGTTTTTTTCTCTCTCTCTTTTCAGTGAGGATGTTCAGGTGTGCTCATGCAGTCACCCTGTTTTATTTTTTAACTTTATTTACCTGCATGGAAACTGTTCTATGTCTCTAATCCCCTGTGTTTCCTCACTTACTCTCCATGAATTTGGCTCCTGCCACTTCTTTCTTATTTGGGGTAGAAATGTGTATTAAATCATTCCCTAGTAGTCCAATCCAGCTTTTGTTTCATGTACCAGATTCCCCCAGCAAATCCGTAGCTGTAAGCAGTAAGGGCTGTTATCATTCCAGTGATACCTGCAGTGTGATATCCAAATATCTGCAATGGGCTGGCATTAGGTAAGCAAGAGCAGTTTACGCTCTTTGGTGCTTTCTGTTATTGAAACATCTTTCCGTGGAGAACTTCAAGGATCAAAACCTCAAACTTTGGCAGAAAAAAAAAAATCTTGTTTGGGGTGAACCTCTACTAGAGCCTTATGTCTCTAACCAACAGCCTTTTCTTTAACCGTGATGCCTTGGCCAATTTACTGATGAGGCCATTCTGCAACCACAAGAGACCTGGCTGCTGGACATGGCCCTGCTCAACCTAACAACTGCAGTTTGCACATGAGTGGTACTAATTTAGCTTGGTGGCTGTACAAAATAGTTTGGGTTTAGATTTTGACTATATTCTGTCTATAGATTGTTCATAGGCAGTACTTGGAGTATTTGTTAGCCTGAAATGAAGAAAAACCCCTAGTCAGGGGAAGAGAAGGGCCTGAATTCTTCCTCCTGTGTGTGCGTGTGTGCTTGTTATCTCTAAAACGTAGTGAAGACAAAAATTGTAAGAGATTTCAGAGAAATTTGGCCCAGGTCATACGAGCCTGACAGCAGGGTGGAGGCAACCTGGAGACACCTCTGTTCTTTGGGTTAAGTTCCCTTGTAGACAAAACACTATGTTGAGTTTTTGCACTGCAGAAAGTAGCCACCAGAAACTGCAGGGTTAAGTAAAACACTTGGCTGGCAAAGGAGAGAAGAACATTCCTCACATCAGGGCAGAAAAGGGAAGCAGGGAGTAGGTGCAATGGAAAGGCTGGTGTGTGGCTATGGCTCAAGAAGGGGGGACTCCTCGTCCCTAACCTTTTTGTATAATCAACAATCCAGGTATTTTAGCTCTGTGACACTTAAGGAGATGTTCCTGGAGCTTCATAAAGCCCAAACAGAGGGTCCCAACCTGTTTGAGGCAAAATGTAAATAACAGAATAACTCAAGCTGAGCTGTATGTAATTTGGGGGAGGGGGGAGGAATTCTGTTTAGCTCCATTACATTGCATTTTGAAACTAGTATTTCAAATTTTCCAAAATATGCAAAAAGTGCATATTTCATGACAGAAAGAAAAAATATTTTTAAAAATCCTAAGTGTTGGCTTCCATGGAGCATTGCCTTCTGTTTCCATTTTTAGTTTTTTAACTTTCATGTTTTTTATAATAGAAAACAAAACATGTTCCAATAGCTGTATATTAATTCAAATTATAAGCATTTTAACTTGAGAAAAGTGTAGACAAATCTGGAAATAGTGTTTTGTGACTCGGAAGGGCCAAAAAATCTAAAAGGGAGCCCTCGGTTCATTGTAAGTCATGCTTCTGCTCTCTTTCCGAGTTGCTCACAATTCAACAAGTCAGAAATTCCACAGCTGAAAATGACTTGAATGATTTGAAGCTCATGCTGTGGTGCATTAAAGTATTGGGAAATGCCTTTGTAGTATTTAACTTTGTTAACAACTTTTAAAGGTTTTTGTGTGTGTGTGTGGGGGGGGTTTAATCAGAAAGGTATTGGGGAAGTGCAGCAACATGCCATTCTTTTAGTCAGCTGCAAACAATAAAAAGGGAAATGGGTGAGCATTAGTTTTGGACTTCCAATAGCCTTTTTTTCCCCCTCTGTCAGCATTATCCTGAAACCACACCACAAGGGAGAAGAGGATTTTTTTTCTTCAGCAACAAAACACTGGCATATCTTAAACCATACAGATTCACTTTTTTTTTTTTTTTAAATGATATTTTGTATGTTTGTTATGGGAAACTTTTTGTAACATTCCACTCTGGGGGTCTGCAGCATTTGGGGAATTTTGCAAGGCTTTGATAGCACATTGTGACTTGACTGACTTTCCCTTGTGCTAAATGATCTTTGATAGAGCAGTTTCTTTCCTGACAGCCTGGGGAATTCATGAAACTTGAGTAATCTATCAGTAGAGAGGTTTCTGATGCTGGGCTGCCTACTTTAGCTAGCTTGTGCTTTTTTTTTTAGATTAGATCTGGGCCAAACACAGTTGTATAAAGATTATGGTACCTTTTGAGCATTTGAAACTCTCCATTAATATGTTTGCCAGATTCTGTTCTGAGGTAGTTTGGTGATTCAAGATTCTATATAAGCCATTAAAAGGTCATCTCATTCTCTGTGGTAGTTGCTCACAAATAGAAACCTGTCACTCCCCCATCCTTCCTGGACAGTTCAACTGGATTGTAGTTGGTATCTGTGATTGTTATCTCTGGCATGGGGAACAAAGTGCTGGTCTGTGTTTGTCTAACAGCGATGCTCAAGTTACACTTAATGCCATGTCCCTATGTTCTCATTATTTGCAGGATTATATATGTATTTTTCTGCATTGTCGGGATGTTCAGAGCTCATTTCATTTGCTATATATAGTGCAAATCAATTATTTTCACCATCTCAAATGTCATGTCTTTATCTGTTACGATAGGGGAGGTAATTCACTAGTTCGCATTGACTTTTTTCTTTTAGTCTTCTCATAATCATCAGCAACAACTCATAATGAACTGTGATTTTTGGGAGGCCGCTGGGAACATGAGCGTGTCTTAGTGTTATGTTGGGTGGTCTGGGAGGTTCCCACTGCTATACCGAGATTGTCAACTGATGTGGTCCCTTTTAGGTGACTAGCAGGTACTTTGTTCGTTTAGCTTTTTCAAACTACACTTTGTCAATGTATGTTATGGAAATATTTTTATTTTAACATGTGTACTGTTAAAGCTTTGAAACAGGCTTCCTTCGTGGTTTCAGTTAAGAATGTGTGGTGCTTGATAAGGTTTAAATGAGCCCCATACATACACTACAGAAGGGGAAAAGAATAGTCTGTCAAAGCATGATAGACACTAGAGACATGCAATAAGCTTGATATTCACTCCCTTAACTTAGTTCTCTACAGATATAATGAGTGAACTGAGTTAGTGGCACCATCCCAGCGTAATAATGGGGCCCTCTTGCATTCTGTGGTTCTCTAGGTATTCACCAGCAATTAAAGAGTGAACATTTTACAAGACATACCTGTGCTAGTCCTCCAGCATGTATAAGGGTTAAATCGGGCATCCAGGAACAACCAGGCACCAGTAGGCCATACAGTGCAATCACATAATATGGCACAGAGTAGAACATGTACGCCAGCATCTGCATTTCAAACAGAAACGTTAGTTGCCTTGCAGCATTTAAAAATTGCTGCTGACTGAGGAACTTGAGGAACTGAGGCTACTCTCCTTGGAGTAATGATTCCCAGGCTTTTTTGCAGCTACAACTTTCCTGAGAAGAGAGTTTTGCACCTGAATGATGTTAACTGGATCCAGCTCCCCTGTGGCCTGAGCTGATACTGATGTCTGTTCTTTTTGTCCCACCCTGATTCCCTTCATCCTGGGACATGTCCTGCCCTCTCCTACCCCTTTCCATCTCTGAGGCCATGCCACTAAGTCTGGCTTGACCTAACTCACTGTCCAATGTAATCTGTGTCCCTTTCTCAAGCTTCAAGACACTTCCAGCTCTGGAGTGAGGTGTACCCGAGCCACCCTCATCCCCACCAAGAACAAGGTCACCAGAGCGTTTTGGGTTCTGCACTCTGGCTCCCTAGTGAATTCTGTAACTGTTTCAGGCACTGCCCCTATGCAGCAGCAGTTTCCTGAAAATGGCAATCTTGCAAATACTAAGAAGCCTCAATCAAATCACTCCTTCCTCTGCAATGCTCATGTAAGCAGGCTTTGCAAAGATGTGTGATTGGAGTAGAACGTGAACTTAAGGAATCTTGTCTCACCTCTTTTTGCTTCATTATTCCAGACTGAAAGTCTGCTTTGCCCTTCTAAAGAAGGGTAATGATGATCAAAAAAAGAGAGAATTTAATGGAATGTATTTTAAAAAAGCCTGAGCACTTGATGTATAATTCTAGGTAACTAATTTGAACACAAGTTGGGTTTATCACAGTGAAGAGCTAGTACCCTGCAATGATAGGTTAGTAGAATATGTGAAATACTATTTAACTTGCTATGAACAAATACTTCCCTCACTGTTTGTCATCTGTAAAAACCCATGGTTTTGTCTTTGTGCCAGTTAAGAAAACACCTTATGACCCTGTATGCTCCACAGCTAATGCTTTACCTGAAGCTTAGGGTAGGCAGCAGGATCTTTTATATACGGCGTTCACAGCAATCTGAGGAGAATTTTTAAAACGTCCTGTGACCAAGGAATTTGTTCTAAAACAAGTTGACCTGATACTGCCTGTTACTAGCCCTAAAGATTCAGTAATTGTCTGCAGTGCTGCAGCTGCCAAGGCTTGCTCCAAATCTGCTGGAAAGGTGGCCCGTTTTCTGACCAGTCAAGGCTGAAACAGAGCGTCCCCTCGATTCCTGCTTGTAAGGAAACGCTAATGCTAACGGCCTGCTGCAAAGATAGGTACTGGAATGGTCACTTGCTGTAGTACAATTATAGTCATTATTGATTTGTTCTGACAACCTGGCTTTGCTCCTGACAAGCAGGTTTTCCAATGGAAAACTGCTCTGCAGTGGAAACCTCAGGCAGGCACCAGGTGAGGATGCCAAGCCACGTGTGTAGTCCCAGAGTTGCACTACAGCAAAGTAGCAGTGGAGACCAGTGGAGATCTAAGGTTCACTGGCAGGTTTAAAGGTGGTGGCAAATGGGAGATTATTGGATATTACACTCTTATACAGAGAACGAAATTGCCAATAAGCATAACGAGCACCCAGTTACTCCATAAATGTAGTTACTTTACATAGTAGCCCTTAGAAATCTTACTACAAAAAATACTGTTCTAAAATGAGCTGGTAATCTGTGTCAATAGCTATCACTGTAAATGTGTCTGGCAGGGCATTATTAATGCCCAAGTTTGCAATAAGGCTGAACATTGTTTTGCACAACTTAATTTCATGTGTATTTGTTGTGGCTTTGAAGAAAAATACAAAGATGTACAAACAATGGGTATTTCTCCTTTTTCTTTTCTGACATAGGCATCGAAAAGAGGTCTGGGTCTGCTTTTAATGGTTTTCTCTTGACTAACCACTTCACCAAGTTCTGGTTATTGCAGCCTACACAGAGATGTTCAGCTGATCTCTGTAGGCAGGAATAAAAGGCCAGTGAAGCAGTTCCTGCTTCGGTAGAGGAAGGGTATAAGGAAGTGACCACACGCTTTCACCCCATCCTCCTCCACCCTCAAAAAAGCAACAGAATTCATCTGAGAAATGAGGAAATGAGACTGCAGAACTAAGTTAGCTGGCAGAGCATGCGATAACCCTTCCTGCAACAAACAGATGCTTAACCTGCAGCAGTGGTGCTCTGTGTAGCATGAGCTATGAGAAATGAAGGCATCTAAATAGGTTAGAAGCAAGACAATGTGAAACACTTCTGAAAGAAGTTTTCAGAGAAACAGAACTCAATGAGCAGCAGAACCACAAAAGGACTATCTGCCCTGTGTAAACAAAACGTTTCTATGGATAGCTGTTACTTGAATTATTTTCAAGCAGACAGATAGCTGTCTAAGGTGCCTAAACTTTTGAGGACTGTGCGCTAATATTATGAAATTTGTTTTGCTTAAGGCAGTCAGTGCATTAAAGCTTTTTTAAAAAAAAAAAAAAAAAAGGGTTTGCCTACTCCTGGATTTACCTACTTTAACAAGCATTTTCAATACTATTTCATTCCCTTAAAATTTTTAATCTATCGTCGGTTATGCTTAAAGATTTAAAAAATCAGCTCTTGATAAGTAGAAACAACATCGGTATAAAGTCAGGTAACTTAGATAAAGCAAGATATTTGCACCTGAAGCAACCTTTTTTTTACCTGGGAGAGTGTAAATTAATTTGGCTTGGTTTCCTATGAGTTTAACTACACATTTCTGTTTAGAAAGACACAAATTCAGTTTAATTTAGTTTGATTGCCTCCATCTTCTTGTGGAAGAAAACACTAAACTAACAAAAAACATTGAGACATGTTTAACTAAGCTTGGGATGCTATTTACTCTTGTTACAATGTACATAGTTTCTTCTGAAAAAACATAATTTACATAAAAAGATGGGGAAGCAAAGCAACAGTAATCATAATAAGTAACCAATTTATCCTTTATATGTCTAGGGCTTACTCCAACCCTGAAAATCAAAGAATATCCCTTCACTGAACCGTACGTACCTTTTTCACACAGGCACTAAGACTTCTCTTTTAGGAAATGCAGGAATTTAAAAGTTTAAGGGAAAATCAAAGGCCAAAATATTAAAATACTTTCAACTTACCATACCCCTGAATATGCAAAACCCCGCTGCTAGAATGAGGTATGCAGCTAAGATCAAATCTATTGGTCGTCTTAACAGTCCTTTCCTCTGGACTTCCTGAACCACCTGCAATACAGCATCTATTTAGTAGCACATCTCAAATGGCAAACATTTAACTCCAAAGCAGTTACTCAGTAAGGGTCAAGTGGCAAAACATGAGAAGTGGGTAGTTCTCAGTTATGTTACCCTGCTTCTGGTAGGACTCTTCTGTAGGATGCGATCAAGAAAACTAATCTGAATGAAGTCTAGAAGTGTATAGACACAAAGTCATTGTATTATAGAGTCATTTACTTTCAAAGCAGGTTAAATTAATACTGTTTTTTACTCTGAGTTCATCCAAAGCTTACAAAGAGCATTGCTAACTTCATTTAAAGTCACATTTATTATTAATTTGAATTAATATTCCTGAATGTCCCTCTGTAGGGAACTTCTGAGTATGTAGGTTTGTCTCCTACACTTGAAGTAGGGTATCATATGATTTACAAGGACTGTTGGGAGGGAGGGCAAAATGAGTGTTCACCTCCTTAGTGGTGAATGGATTGGTTTTCAGCAGGCTGTGACACTGTATGGAAACAAATGGAATAGCACTTGCATGGGATGTAAAAAAAGAGCTTTTCTAGTGTTAATTGAGGTTGCTGAGTTCAGAGAACAAAAAAAAATCATTATACGTAACACATGAGTGCATAATAAAATGTGTATGTGCACCTAGCATGTGGAAAAAACTAGATCTGATCGGGGCCTCCCTTCCCTAGTCATAAAACAGGATTCCCCCCAGAACTAGGCATGCAGAGGTGAGGTAACAGAGGCCATAGAGCTGTATCTGAGAGAGAAAAGCAACAAAAAGAGATCTCTTTGCCTACATGGTAAAACCTATGGGAGCCATGGAAATAACTCTGGCTACACTTTCAGCGCCGTATTCACAGCCAAAGTTATATGCACATCAGAGTTTCTCTCTGCAGTTTATAGGGAAAACTTCCCCATTTATATGTGTTACTCATTTCCTCTTCCTTTTTATTAGCCGTGTGCTGGCATGCACACAGCAAAAACAAAAACCAAATTTCCTTCCTGTTATATACTTATGGTATTGTCTCCAAAAGCTCTGAACAAAAATTAGGATGTAGAGGCACAATTAGAAGCACTCATGTTCAACATACTCACAATAAAGTTATTGGAACAGGAGAACAAATCTTGCAAGCACAATTCCTGAATAAGAACTCCAAGATCTGGATGGTAGCTTAACAAAAACAAGGCCATTTTATACACCCAGGCCATCCCCTTCATCAAACTCTTTATTTTTTGAAAAGGTTATGTTTCAGAACAAGTTCTATGCCGCATCCTTTTTGTTTTTCATACTAGAACAACAACTAGAACTAGAACAACAACAGGTCTGTTTTGGCAATATCATAATTATGACTGTGTTACTTCGCAGTATTTAAAAGTATAGGAATGTTCATATAACTACCTGAAAAAAATATATATATATCCTAATGCTTATTCCTAAGGAAGACAAAGACTGCTGAGTTACAAGTAATTTTCAGATGTGGACTATCTAAAAATAATGAAAAGTTCATCATTTGTTTTTTTTTTTCTCCATTCTGTCTAATTAATTAGCTTACATATGTAGCATGCCTTCCTTTCTTTCATGGCCATACATTAAGGATTTTTTCTTCGTGTGCCCCTCAAGCTACAGCATGACTTTGCACTTATTGGTTTTGTCTCTAAAACCTCCATAACAGTGCAAACAAGCTTTGATGGTAGAATGAGTCTTTTAAAATGCCAAGGGACAGAAACCAACAGCTTTTTTTCTCTCTTGTGCCCATGTACAAAAGCAAAATGAAAACACAATGCTTAAAAGTGGAAGGATGAAGAATTTGAAAGATAACGCGTCCTCAAAGCAGCAGTTCACCATCAGACCTCAACTATAGAGTACATTTATGTTTCCCTTCTAAATACAGCAAAAATCACCCCAATACATGCTAAAATGAACACAAAAACATTGCCAGTCCTGCTGTTCCTTTGTGGAGCATAGTGCATAGCCATAACTAGCATTTTCTGTCATTTCCTAGGGAAAAGCTCTTTTCCATAACTTCTCCGAGGCTCCTTCCACGCTTGGTTTTAGAGGTTGAGACTAATCTTGTATGCTATCCACAAAAGTCAGTCCCCACAGAATTCTGATGCAAATCTGAACTTATGCAAATCTGAACTTATGGATATTAATGTTGTTAATGAATTTGAAATTACTGTAAAGCTGTTTCCTTAGCTACTATACTTGTAGCTGGGTCTACTGGGCTTTGTGAAACATTGTAGTACAGCTTGGTTTGATTCTAAAGGAGGGCATAGCTCCATCCCTTCCCCGTGAACAAAAACAGCCAAAACTTGATTATTTCCTCCTGTCGGTGTTTTTTTTTTTTTCTCCTTCAGTATTTTCAGGGTTTGGAACCTGATATTTCCCCTAACTTGCCTTTCATAGGAATTTGCCCTAAAAATGATGATTCGGTAGCAGTTCCTCAAACTTCAGGAGGCTGAGGGGCATCTTTCATTCATTTCTGAGAAAAATTGCCAGTGCATCATCTGCTGATATTCTTGCCATAGAACTGACTGCGTACTAGGCAGAGGATAGGAGCTATCTCCCACCATCTGTGTGTGTGCAGGTGGACCTGCGGGCACTCAGGAGCTCCTGTGATGCACAAATACTAATTGGTTATTATTGGCAAATGCTGCAGTGTGTTGTGGCAATAAGCTGGCTTGCTTGTGGCAACAAAGGGTTAAATACCTGTTCTGTGCTTTGTACTGCAGGCTTTCGTTTTGTAGAAAAGTACATGAGCCTTGCTACATTTTTGATTGCTCAGTTACTAATCACAACACAGCCCAACCATTAAACTCCAAAGACAAAGGCCTAAGCAGTCTTCAAGTATTTTACAGATAGGCATATTTTTGGACAACTAGAAAGTGTTTAAACAATTTTTATATCAATTAATGTGCTAATATCTTGCCTCTAAAATCAAATGTATATCAAATTTGAATAGAGATGAGCAGGACAACAATATCTATAAATTTGAGTACTTTCAACTTGAGATTTTTTTTTCTTTAACCAACCTTAATGAACTTTCTTATGGTATGGATATTTCTATAACATCTACACAACTTAGCCGCCATTGTCATAACAGTGAACAGTTGTAACACATTCCCCTCTCACTGATGGCTCTATAGAACTCAGTAGGAACAGTGAATATGTAATAATATTACCTTGACTGGAGTATCATGAGTCACTGAGGGCTGATTATAGATTCGGAACCCAGCCCATATGGGAAGGCAAATGTATGGCAGGCTTAAGAAAAAAGCAGGACACACTTTTGTTCCGTATTTTCCTATTAAAACAGTCAAAAATGTATGAAGAATCTGTAAAATGTGTTGCAGTGGAGTTAAAAAAAAAAACTATGGAAAGTAAAACTTGAAGCAGTTAGAGTAAAAAATATAAAACATTAGGAATGACTAGTAAACTAACATGCAAATCTTGCTGAAAATCATATGTTTAATAGTAGTAGAGCGACAGGTGAGAGAGAATCTATTGGATAGAGTGACATTTTAGAAATAAGATTTTTTTTTTTTGAGGAGACAGGAAGCCACCTCAGTCACACTATGCTAGATAACCTTGTAGGATGGCAGAACTTTGTAATCTCTTAATGAAATATGCTTCAAATAGGGGAATCACTAATGAAAAATTGAGAAAAAATGAACTGATGAACTGATCTATTTTTTAAAGTTCTGATACTGCATTTGGTTTCCAAAGCCCTGGTTTCTCCTACAGGCCTGTATTAATACTTAAATACAGATTCATAAGTCTATCCTCAGCCAGGGTTAATCAGGTAAAATGGGGCTTTTTATGCTGACTCCTCTGTGTCAAAATTGAAAACCAAAGGCAGGTTCTAGTAAATAAGTCTTTTGGCTTTCCATAGAGGACAGAGGCAGAGATATCACAGTAAATCTGCTGGCTCCCTCCCGGTGGGAGCGTGAACCTGCAAAGGAGGGAGCTGGGCTGGTTCCTGGTAGCACTGTGAATATTTCTCCTCTGTACTAAAAACCCAGGTTACACTGAGCCTTTTCAAAGCTGACCACAGGACTTGGACACATAATCATCTATGTCAGTAGCATCCTGGTCAACTTTGTATTAACTTAATTATTAAGTTAAGCCTTGGTTTAAAAAATAAATAAATAAATAAAACACTCTTGGGTTCTTGGGGAGTTGTTTGGTAGGGGAATAAAAGCTCTCAAAAGACCAGCAGATCTGGTCTTTTGACCTGTGGATAAATACCTGTTGGAGATTTTTAATTACAATTCTTAACCTCTAGTAGCATAAATATGCATTGATTTATCTTAGAAATCTAGGAATATTAAATTGTTTTCAATATAGAACAAATTACTTTTAAAAGTAATTTGGATGTCTTTTGTGCAGTGCTTGAAAGTCAGACTGTGAAGTACATTAGTAATTTTAATATAATTTTTAATGATAATAAGAGACAATTATTGTCTCATTGTTTAACTTAAACTTTACTTGAATGAGATGCTGAATTTTTAAATTGTTTCACAGGGGAAAGTTAATTATATAAATTATGTCCTTACCCACAATGTTTCCAGGCATAAAGACAATGATGCTCATGACAATGGAACCTAACCAGTAGAGACCAATGGTTCTATAACTTTGTCTGTTAAAAAAAGGAAAAGAAAAAAAAAAAAGTTATTGCACCATCCCTAAAATCCCACCACCCAAAATCATCCTCAAATATTCTACCGATTGCCATAACTGCACCTTGGGAAGTAAACGTTTTACAATCTGTCCCACAAGTGAACAATCCTGCCTCCCAGCTGTGGACCTAGAGGAATCCCACATGCATCCATGAGGAGATGATCATGAGCCGCACAGGATTTGTGCATTCTTAGTGCTTCTCTCACTGGGAGGCTGCGTGTGATTTTTACACAAGCCAGTCACTGTGCAGGACTATACAATAGATATATAGGTCTTCTGGTAGTGCTTCTATTACAAAAAGCTACACTATCCTCTGGACTTCGAATGTAAGTACTTGTTTTCTCAAACTCCTGTAACAGCAAGGACCATAAGGGCGTCCAGAATAATTATTATTTTCTTAAATAATGATTATTTAAGAGCCTCTTAAACTGCATAATGGTTTCTAACACAATTGAAAAAGAAAACATAATAATGCTGAGAAAAATAGTTTTCCCAGCATTTATATATTCTTTGAATAAACAGTACCACGGTTTTACTGTACATCCTCTTGAAGCTTTCCTTTTCTAAATAATGTAATGCAGATGGGCTATGGGCCGCAGAGTGAAACAGAGAGAACACAGTTTAGTGTATTTGTTGCTTTTTATTAATGGAGAGAAAGGATAACTTTGGTGTGGGTACAATTCCTGAAAGTGATGGAATTTTAATAGCATTGCTTTGGGCCAAGGCACAAAACAATCTGGAAAGAAAAATGTAAATACTATATAGAAAAAGCCTTTGCTAGGTTGTATGAGGAGGCAAACAAATTAAACAGTATGCAAATCCAAATGACTTACTCCCATGCAATAGCTGCCACCATCAAGAGATACATCAGATAATGAACTGAGCCATCCCAATAGCAGATCACATGGCCATACGCTGTGTTCAGATACGGTTCATCCTAGAGAAAATTTATTTTTACAAGTATACAGTGATTCGAGAAAGTGTTAGAAATGAGCAATTAATAACAAATAGCAGGAATCAGTCTGAGGAAAGTAACTGGTGTTCAGTCTAGGGGTACACTTTTTGACTGTCGGCAACGTGTTTCAGGAAACGTTTTGTCACTTAGGTAGGACCAGAAATAATAAAATTCCATATATATATATACACAGTAATGGGTGGAAAAGAGAAGGAAAAACTCCTTGTCTGTATGTGACTGTCAAATATGCTGCTATCTTAATGAAATATTACTTTTCTATATTCCAGTAATAAAAGATAGGATCCTAAAGTTTAACAAATAAAGCTATAATTAGCAATGTAGCATGGTATTGATTGAATAGATTAATGACAATGCACAACCTTGTAGGGCCCGACCCATTTCCCCCTCCAGGAAAGATTCATGGAATCTTTTCAATGACTTCAGTGACTTTCATATCAAGCTCTTACTGAGCTGTTTTTGGTGGATGTTGATATTCAGCAGCTAACAGATTCTGCTGACTAGGTATCTGGCACCATCATTTTTTAACTCTAATTCCTTTAATTAAAATGATTTAGTGGAAGTAAAGGCTAATTTTTTCCTGATTTGGTGAAGCACATAGGTATTGCAGTGCTCATCCACTCCTGTGTGCTGAGCACGTGTGGATTCTGCAGACCTGTATGCAGACTGGATAGCTGCCATGGAAGTTCATACTGGAAGTAGTACTTCAGCTAAATGACATAATGCTGGAATTTGAAAGGTCTGCTATTTTTTCAGGTGAAGCCAGTGAAAACTTTGTCTATAACAATAATGAAACAGGTTAATGACCAAATGCAAGAAGATCCTTTGGGCATGTAAGTGGCAACTTTCTCTGACAAATACTAGTGATTTTATTTAACTCTGTAAGACAAACAATTGTTTACCTCTCTCAAGTAATGGGTCATGAATCCATCAATAATTCCATCTTGTTCCAGCCCAATTATAAGATTGACTACACTGGTAAAGGCAAATACAGCATAAACTGTAATTATAAAGGGAAAAAAAATTACTGAATGTGAAAAGTCTTAAAATCAAACAGTTAATTCACAGGCTGATATATTCAGCCAAACAGATTAATATCTATCAACGCAGATGTTTCTACTTCAGAGGTCGCAGACTTTTCTATATGACTTTCTGCATGTAGACTTTTTAACTATTAAAAAGTGTTAAGTATTATGAATGTCTAGCCCAACAAGTTTATTAGGAAGTTGTTCTTGGGAAGGTGAAATCCTGCACATCTGCACGTTTCCCCATTCATCTCACAGGAAAATCACAGAAAGGCACGATGTAGCCCTTCAGAATGCTCTTTGTTACACAACATGTACAATCCTGACAGTAATAATCTTTTGGAAAGGAGAAAGGACAACAAAAAGGAAAAAGAGAGGGCAATATTCCTTGCCATTTTTGGAAGTGAGCAATAAAAAAAAATGTATTTGCCATTTAAGTCCACAAGAGACCTATCTGGCAACGCAGAGTCACTCATTTGAGACGGGAAATTTATATAGATAGATGTATGGTATTTATTTCCTTTGACTTCAGTGTGAACTGAGAGTTCTCGCATCACTGAGAGCACCGCAGGACAGACACCTAGGAATCCTAACGGAGACAGAGGACAAATGCAGCCAGTTTGTGCTCTGTATTGTCTATGGACCCGTGCTGCAAAACTTCCAGCTAAAGGGGCAAACTAGTTCAAGGCACAGCCATTAAGCAGTAGTTTTTTTTTCTTCTAAACTGTTGCTATAATGTAATCTAAATATGAGGTTTTAATTCAAAAATATTCTTCTCTCTATTCTTTTATGGCAAAATATCAGTAGAGAAGTGTTTTGCCTGAGTCTGCAGGCAGAGTCAAGCAATAGCTGGAAAGGTATGAGATTTCTTATGTGTCACAAAGTGCGTTAACACAGAAACTTAATGCTAATGGGAGAATGAAGGAATTTGATCATGAGGAACCAAGCCATAGAGGCCCTTGGTCCAAAAGATCCAAAAATCCCAACTAAGTCCATTCAGAGTGAGATGTGCATGGAAGGTCTACGCTGCTGTCTAAGCCGTGCCACAAAGAGGATCTTGATAGAGCAGGTATGATCATGTGTCAAACACCTTCACAGCCCAGCTTGAGTGTTATTTTATTTTTGTTCTTTCCAAACGGGATGTCTGGTTCAGAGAGAGCCTTAAAAGATGTGAAACTTCTCCTCTAGTCTTTACTTCCTTTCAGGTTTCTTAAGCACCTCACAGGGCTGAATTCTGAAGTCATGCTTTAAATGTTCAGTGTGTGATAACAGTCATATATTACACCTACATATTACTGGATGCATTCTGAATTCAGCTTCCTTGTTACCAATACATACCATAAAACAGTGGGTCTTTTGGTGGTTTTCTCTTGACAAGAACACGAGCCAAAAGAGCAATAAAAACTAGGACCAATAATCCAGCTGCAACAACTGTCCAGGAACTGAAAGAATATCAAAAATAAAGAAAAAATAGAAGAAAGAAGAAAAAGCAGACAGAATTTTGCTTTTTACAGCCTTTTTATCAAAAGAAGAGATTACTTTTAAATGTCTTTAACTTTTAGTAATTAAAAAGGCTGCTTTTCAAGCCCAATGCATAGTCAGTCATAGTATTCATTTTGCAGGTTTGCAGAATTTATGGGCCTGTCTTTTCACATGTGGTCATCTAAAAAAGGAAAATACTAAAATAGCTAGATAAACAACATGCCCAGAAATGCAGATTTGTCTAAGATCCGTTTTTGTACTGATATCAACAGAAAGGGATGAAAATGCTGAAAAACTTAAAAGCCAATGAGAGGTGAAAGTCATAAATGGAGAGATTTCAAGGCCAAAAAGGATCATTAGCCACTTTTAGTCTAACCTCAGCAGTAAGTTATCTACTTAGGAAATCACATATTTCCAAACACCAGTGCGTCAGCTGCATGGACGGGCAGTGTGGAGCTCCCGCATTTTTGGCTGTGGATTTAAATTCCAGTTTTGGACAGTCAATTTTGGATGAGCTGGAGGTGCTACCAAAGGTGTCCCAGGCTCTGTGGGGTGGGATCGCTCCGAGTGTCCCTGTCATTGACTCTGGCAGCAACACGATGTGCTCTGCAGAGCAGACCTCTCCTCCCAAGATGGTGTTTGTAAGGGGAGCGCGAGTAAAGCGGTGGAGAGGAAAAGTACGAAAATCCTTGGCACAAAAGGAGATTTGTCTCTTCCTCCTCCCTCCCTCCTAAACAGTGAGTTTTTTAAAAAAGTTTGAAATTGGTTGACAGTTGAAACCTAACTGCCTAAATTTTATTTGTTCTTTTAAGTCTGAAACACAGTCTCAGCTGGTCTGAGTCCATGCTTTTGTGTCTATATACAGGGAGGAAAAAAAAAAAAAAAAAAAAGGAGGAGGGATTAGGTAAACTCCAGACCATAAGCTAAAAATATTTGGGACATGATTTTATACGCAGCACCCGCTCCGTGTCTCAGGAGAGCAAACCAGGCACGACACATAGCACCGGTCTGGACAGTTCTGGGGAAGCCTGGCTGGGGAACTCGCAAGATCCGGCACTTCGGAGCGTTCCCGCCCGTCGCACCAGGAGCGGCTCCATGCGCGTCACCCGCACCGCTGCCCCGCGCCTCTCCTTGCCCCGCGCTTTACCAAATTTGCACTGAACGCTGGCCAGCACCGAGCAAGCCGGCGACTGCTACGGAGCAATCCTCCGGCGGCGAGAAGCAAAACGAAGGGGAAAATAAAATAAAAAATAAAATAAAATAAAATAAAATAAAATAAAATAAAATAAAATAAAATAAAATAAAATAAAATAAAATAAAATAAAATAAAATAAAATAAAATAAAATAAAATAAAATAAAATAAAATAAAAGTTCTCCCGCGGCAGGAGGGGGCGCAGAAGGGGCCGCGCCTCCACG